AAAGGAGAGGCGACTAAGTTTCCTTATACAATCGGGAATGTGTGCTGACCACCGGAGATTTCTGTCGATGATGACACCCAGGTACTTAACAGAGGTCACTTTGGACTGAGGGTTACAGTTAGGGCGGCATAATTCATCTTAAATATAGTTCGGAAAGTCTGACCATGTACTCTAGGTATTTGTATGTATAAGAATGAAACCAGATTGATTGGAAAATGGTTGGATTCAAAGGTAAACTTTCAGTGAAGGAATCAAACTCCAAAGAAGAGGATATTGTCTGACAACAAAGGACATCATCAACATAATTTTGGATGTGTGCGAGGGATAGAACCGAGAGATGACCAATGAAAGTAGAAATGAGATACGGCGATGGATCTGGAGGGAAAGTAAAAAGTACTCACAAGCAGAAACTGCGTATCTGATTTCGCTTGGGATAAGCCTCGTGATCAGTGATATTGGTTAGGTCGTTTTACACATTGCTTGTCAGAAGCAGTACAGAAAGACAGGTTGTAATTAGGAATTCTAAGGATCAAATGTTCAAAAACATTTTTGTACTCATTTTTAACCATGAATCATAAATACAGTTCTATTCCACGGTAGCAACCTCGATTTTTAAGAGGCGACAGGCACTCTTGATGGTCTTGGGTGTGGGTTTACTCCTTGGGAGATCGTTTATTCCCCGCAAGTTCATGCATTTGGCATGTGATGGAAATGTTTGTGATAACCGACACAGAGCTTTGGACAGCTGTTTCGTCCTGTTTGTGACCCGTCAGCAGTGCTTACTTCTTGTGTCTCTGTCAAGACTCGAATCGCGAACATTCGGGAGAGGGGTAGGGGCTTGAAGGCCCAACCCGAAATTTCGCTATTCGAGTCCTGCCAAGGACACAAAAATACGCACTACTGACGAGTTTCAAACAGGACGAAACAGCTGTCCAGTGCTCTTTGTCGGTTATCACAAACATTTCCATCGTATATCAACAGTTCTATTTCATTTAAATACCAAAATGACTACTCCTTGCTTATTTTAATTCATGTAAGTTGTGTAATTTCAGTTAAGTGTCTCTTCAAAGGGGTCCCGGTGAAATAATACCATAGAAAATCTTGAATCATAAGTGACTTTTCCAGTCATTCTGGTTATCAGACTGATTATCAAACTGGTCGTCATTTGATTTAGCATTACTTTTGCAGACTCAGAATGAAATCTGTATGCGGCAAAATATGAATGGTATTGGAAGTAAAACTAATTATACGGAAACTTTGTAATTATAAGATATGATATCATAACCTTACTGTGCACGTTATTGACCGCCAAATACATACGTTGCAAACAAGGTTGTTGTGACGAAAATACACTTCCTGGGTACAAGTATATGAATGAACTTGCAAAACATTACCGGATACGCATGCCTGACGAGCGGCATGAACCGCGAAACCGGTCTTGTGCTTCCAGGAAATTTTGTCCAGTTATTCACATACTACTTATTATCAAATACATATAAGTATAATTAGTAGACTCTTCGGAAATATTAGCATACACTTCAAAAAGTTAATTTCAATTCAAGCCAAGGAGTTGCTTTAATACGTCATCTGTTGCGAATTCAGCTGTACTCATTGAAGCATACCATTGTATGCACGACCTTCAACGGGCGATCTGATGCTGCTTTTGAATAATCATCAAATAATAATTAAACATCCCTATTGAGCATTTGTAATCACGTAGATTTCATAACCAGCACACGAAGAAATATTAAAGCTATCTTTTTACAATATCGCTTCTCTCAGCAGGGGCATAGTTTATCGACCACATTAACGTTCTTTCTTCCCTTCTTTTCTTACAAATGAAACATGTGCTGGTAGTCGAGGTGTTCACTAATATGGTTAGCTTTTATTTTTCTATTGTTGACGAAGAAGTCCTTGATATTGGAAATAAAATAACATCTCATGTTTCCCATCCGAAGATTGTTTATAACACTGAAGGGTTGGGGTGAGGTGACAATAATTTTTGTCTAGTTAATTCATACAACGAAACAAAAATATGATGAAAGCTGTTACTTTCGTCTGCTTCTTTTTATCTTTCAGTAACCCCAGCGCAACTGCACAGATGTTTAGATTAGTCTCAAATCTCAAACATGGGTTTCATTATTTTCCTCAATTTTTCTGCCTTCATTTGCATACCAACTACTAATGATCTTTTTATTTTCCGCTATTCGTTTAATCGTAAGACATTTAGTGCTAGATTAAGATGCACAACTGAACTTCCGCCAACTGCTTCAATAATAAATTCATTTTGCGGATTTCTTTTGTAAGTTTTGCCCAATATATGCTGCATTAATGACGATAAAGTCAGTAACCATTTTGTGCGTTAGCATTTACAAATCTGAACCAACAGGTCACGTTCTGCTAATTAATGAAGAAATAGTTTTGATCATTTTTTTCTGAAATAATCTCCACTGTGCGGTTTATTTTGGAAAAGTCAATTTGAACGGGCTACTTTTGATGTGAAGGATTAGTTAAAGTACTCATGTAAGCGGCTATGCCAGAATTAAAAGTTCTTTTCTTTTATCACGATCAATATAAACTGATTACCATACATCGTTCCGACAGTTTGTTTCTATGACGGTTCAACCAGATTCTGCCTTCGNATGCGTTCTCTCGGGAACGAATCAGTCAGTGAATGAAGGCCAGCGAATGTGCGAACGCACGTTCGCGCGCTAGTAAGTGAGTAGGCGGGAGAGAAAAAGTGACGATCGATGATATAAATTATGGTTGTGTTTGAGTCCGCGCGCTTATATTTGCATTGGTGAGCATGAGCATGACAACCGTATTCTGATTGGTCCATCTAGCCAAGCAAGTGGGTAATAGGCCAAATCTGTAAATATCGAAATTTCCAGGGATTATAATCAAAGCTGACTTGAACGCTGCTTACATAGAACATATACGAACATTACTCAGGTTGGGATATAAGTAAAACTGGACGATTTTTAAACATTTTCTTTTTCTCCCAGGTATAGAGAAGGGTGGGAGAGGACCGTACATAGAAAATGGTTCGGGAGCTCTGATGAGCGGACAGTTGCACTGCTCATAAACGGTTTCGGGACTCATCCAACTATTGGACATTATTCAAAGTTGCCACAGGGAATGCTTTTAAGTCGAAGGTTGTACAATGAATAAATGCTTCATTTTGTAATGCAAACAAGGGGTGGATGGGCTGTATGTAACAAACGGGCATAAACGATAACCATAGTAAATATCTATCGCATCCAAAAAATGACCAAAATTCTAATGAGCCTTTGATGATGCGAATAAAATAAAATATAATGATATTATTTAGAACATCGACGTCGAGATATCAAATTATTAACAAACAAAAATGAACAGAACTTAATACTCGACTTGTTAGTGACAATGTTTTGATGCTGTTCAAGTGTGTCTTTCAGGTACTTTTACGAAGCTCTTCAAGCATTATGAACATTACACCAGTTCCTTCTGTGGATGTTGTGTGCACAACAAAAGGCTCTAATCAGATTCCAAATGAGAGCTGGAAATGTTGGTCTAAGTTTTAAATGATTGATTGTATAATCGGTAATGGAAAAGAATCGACGATACTCGGTTGACGATCGTTAATTCGTATAGTGGTGCCTCATAATCTTTTTAGTTTCAACAATCAAAGTGATCACAAAAAAATGATTGATACGGTTTTAGAAAACAGATCAAACAATAGTGAATTTCTTCAGTTTCTGAATCTTGAAAAGTAAGTAGCAGTTTGATATTATAATGTTACTAATGACCGCGACCAAACTGATTGTTAGTTCCAACTTCACCACTAAAAGTGACTCTAGCGGAGATCTGGCTACTAATCCATCATTAAGGCGGTTATAGGTGTTGTTGTAAAGGTCTTCCACGTCTGATTTGCACATTCTTGTTTTCCGAAAGAGATAATCACTCAGTTCCACATTTGTGACTTTCGTTTGTGGAAAAGGTGCAGCATTTTAGTGGTGCACATGGTGAATATCCCATAAAATGGTTGGCGTAGCTCCAGTGGCTTTATGTGTGAATGATAACTGAATACGAATACAGTCGATAGTAATCCGAAGCTTAAGAAAAGAACGACAACACAATTGGTTTGCTTACGTGAATATATGAAAAAATTATTCTGAATACGGTGTTTGATCATGGCGAAGTATTACAGTTTTTGAGGCTGTTGACTTCATTTATCTTACTCTATATCTAAGGCGGCTGAGAAAGCCAGGCTTGGTGATAGCAATTTTGTAGTTATTGGCTTGGTGAGGCAGATCTTGTCATTTTCCGTTAAGGACTCCGGATCGGGAAGTGAGCATAATATCAGGTGCACCTCGTCGGGTCCGAACAGTGGAGCTTTACCTTGAGGTCCACCGAATGTGTGTGAAATGTCTAATGTGGTCATGAAATTCATAAGAATATGACCCACAACTTTTTGAATTAAATATCAAGCAAAATAAAGTTCTTCTGGTTTGTTAGCCGAATTCGGTTTTGTTTGATTATAGTAGGTTCTTGTTAGTTCAGTATACACTTACTGGAATTTTCAAACTACAGTTCTGCGCTGGAATGTGAGTTATCCAGCTTGAACAATGAGATTTCTCTTCTTATCCATAATTTGATTGTCCAAGGTGGTTTGAGCGCGTCGTTCCTCCCCCAGATGATTGTGCATTTTGGCATAATGGTCGTTGCGATGATCATGCCACTGGGGTTAACAAGACCGGGTACACACTAGCCACCAGTCAATCACGTCATCTAGTGTTCAAGAGTTGAACTCAAAGTGCATTTTCATGTTAGCTGGTTTTTCTGGTCAACGAAAGAAAGTGTGATTTTGTTTAACGTTAACCAAGAGCTCTAGAAACCGATCAATTAAAACCAAACATTGGAAAACTAAGGAAGAGTACTTTTGCAGCCAGACATGATACTAAGACTAATTGATGTTATTGAGGTGAAATTATATCACTGAATTTTAATCATTTTATTCGATGAACCGTTTATTTGTTCTGACATCCTCTTTCTTGGTTATTTTTTTCTCAGCCTTCGTCGTCTACAGCTTTTTGAGTCTGTGCTATGAGTATCTAGGAGGTGAGAGTTGCATCATGTCAGAAATTCGTGGTCGAGAATTTCCGTGAGTTAATTTTATCAACCGTAAATAACACGTGAAATTTCATGGATTTCGACTGGATGATGAAAATAAACTTTTGTTCGTGTTCGTTTAGTTTGACGGTATTAAAAGAGTAGATTAAAGAAGGGTGTTTAAGGTGAATGGATTGGATACATTTCTGATATCTAGTGACTCGAGAAACTAACAGATAAACCAATCACGAATAAATATTTCTGGGGAGAAAGCAACTGAGGTTTACATAAAAGAGCTTTATTATTATTATTATTATTATTATTGAACAAAGAACGCAACACTGCAAGCGAGCACAATTTAATTCCGGAATCATTTTGTTACATCTCAATTGGTGCTTACTGCAAAATACAAATCAGTTTATATATCACAGGTGTTGATAATTTAACATGGTATCAATTCACTCTTCCGCTCACGTGGTTACCAGGGCAATGCCAGAATGATGTACACCTCCCTTTGCTGCAAAGCAGGGGCTTTCGGCGCTTGATTGCTATGGCCTCCGCAAATTTCAGCAGCCGTCCATTCGAGGTTGTGTAAACAACCCGAAAAGAAGTCCCGCGGTCGACTTGGTGGCCAGTCTGCAGCAGATGACGAGCAATTGATGATGCAGGTGTTCTGTGCGGCTGGCTTGGTGGGCTGGTTATAAGTGTAGCCATCAATCTCATCCGTTCGCGTTCGACCTATGCTGGAGAGAATTGATACCATGTTAGATTATCAACACCTGATTTGTATTCTGCAGTAAGCACCAGTTGAGATGCAGCGAAAAGATTCGGGAATTAAATCATGCTCGTTTGCAGTTTCGTGTTCTTTGTTCAAGTTTATTTCGGGATATTATTACGGTTGTTACTATTATTATTGTAATTGTTATTATTAATGTCATTATTGTTATTATTATTATTTTCCAACGCTCTAATATATTTACCTAGATAATTTTCATTCCAACGTTTAAAGTGACGTTTCTGGGAGTAAAACTCTGGCATATTCTACATTTTTAACATGTCAATTTCAAGGGAGTTATACGTGTTTATTTATAAGTTTAATCACACTACAACATAAGATGATCACGCTTAGAAATCATAAAACTCACTGACCATAGGTATCACTGTGACATCTGTTTCCTCTCTCAGTGTTTAATGAGTCACGCTTCCGAATACAAATTTGAGTGCAGTATTTTGTATAGCAAATTATGCTTAAATGAATGTAGCAAGCCCGTAGAATATCTAGGCGACTCGGCTTCCAGTTTGAGAGACAGAAACCCAAATCATGCGATGTAACTTTTTGATCGGGACCATTTCGGGAGGATTACGTTCACGAGTGCATTGCTAGCAAGGCGGTGTTTATTTACTGCTGTGTCACGGTACCTTCCGAAATGATACTCATGAAGATAAAGGATATGAATCTCTGTCGGGATTCAAAAAGAGGAGCCGAATCGTGCTATTCAATGCAGCACG